ATTGCGAAAACGGAATATATTTTGATTGGATCACGTTCTAAGATTAATAGCATGGTAGCCAACACACAGTTAAGATCGACACATGTCCAATCAAAAGAGTAAAAAGCGCAAAAGTGCTAGGAGTTGAAATCGATGAGAACCTAAACTGCGAAAAACCTATTGAATATATCGCTAGGAAAGTATCTTCGGGGATTGGTGCGTTAAAAAAACTTAAAGAATTTGTAGACCGAGATACATTAGTGCTGGTGTATAATGCATTGATCCAGCCGCATTTTGATTACTGTTGTGAGGTTTGGGATGAGCTTGGCAAATGCCTCGGCGAACGTCTTCAAAAATTGCAAAATCGAGCGGCTAGAGCAATTCTGAATTTTAAAAACGAGCATGGACAGTCTATCTTAGCTCGTACTGCTCTTCGTTGGACATCCCTTGAAGAACGTAGAGCATCAATGAAGGCCAAACTCATGTCCAAAACAGTAAATCAATTAGCTCCACAAAGACTGTGTAACATTTTCCAATCTTCCAACACTGTAAATAGTTATAATTTAAGATGTTCTTCAACTGGGATTTTTATTCCAAGGCTCAGGACAGAATTTATTTAAAAAAGTTTCAGTTACCGTGGGGCTAAATTATGGAATAGAATACCAGAAAATATTCGAAATTCAATATCTCACAATTCGTTTTGTAAAAACCTTTTCTCCTCGCCCTCGCCCTTATTAATTTAAGTAGTTTATTTAAATGAATATTTAATAGATTTATATAATAATAGTTTGTATGTATTAATAAATTAGATTTTAAATTGTAACAATTAGCCAGCACACCTCTCATGGAAATCAGCCTAGTGTTGAATGGGACTAGTGTGCTTAAATAAAGTTTATCTATCTATCTAAGGTTCCTCACTCGGAAGACAAGGTTCCTCAGTGTAAAGCCAGGATCCTCACACTGAGGACAAGGTTCCTGATTCTGAGGACAAGGTTCATCACTCTGAAGGCAGGTACCACACTCTAAGGACAAGGTTCCTCAATCTGAGGACAAGGTTCCTCACTCTGAGGAGAAAGTTCCTCACTCTGAGGACAAGTGTCCACACTCTAAGACGAAGGTTCCTCACTCTGAGGACAAGGTTCCTTACTCTGAAGACAAGGGTCCTCACACTGAGGACTCGCTCTGAGAAGAAGGTGTTTCACACTGAGGACAATGTTCCTCACTCTGAGGACAAGGTTCCTCACACTGAGGACAAGCTTCCTCACCCTGAGGCCAAGGTTCCTCACTCAGAGGACAAGGTTCCTCACTCTGAGGACAAGGTTCTTCACACTGAGGGCAAGGTTCCTCACTCTGAGAACACGGTTCCTCAGTCTGAGGACAAGGTTCCTCACTCTGAAGACAACGTGCTTCACACTGAGGACAATATTCCTCACTCTGAGAACAAAGTTCCTCACTCTGAGAACAAGGTTCCTCAATCCGAGGACAAGGTTCCTCACTCTGAGGACAAGGTTGCTCACATTGAGGACAAGGTTCGTCACTCTGAGGACAAGGTCCCTCACTCTGAGCACAACTTTCTTCACACTGAGGACAAGGTTCCTCACACTGAGGACAAGGTTCCTCACTCTGAGGACAAAGTTCCCCACTCTGAGAACAAGGTTCCTCACTCTGAGGACAAGTTTCTTCACACTGAGGACAAGGTTCCTCACACTGACGACAACGTTCCTCACACTGAGGACAAAGTTCCGCACTCTGAGGACAAGGTTCTTCACTCTGAGGACAAGTTTCTTCACTCTGAGGACAAGGTTCCTCACACTTAGGCAAGGTTCAGCACTCTGAGAACAAGGTTCCTCACTCTGAGGACAAGTTTCTTCACACTGAGGACAAGGTTCCTCACACTTAGGCAAGGTTCAGCACTCTGAGAACAAGGTTCCTCACTCTGAGGACAAGTTTCCACGCTATGAGTAGAAGGTGTTTCACACTGAGGACAAGGTTCTTCAGTCTGCGAACAAAGTTCCGCACTCTGAGGACAAGGTTCCTCACTCTGAGACAAAGGTTCCGCACACTGAGGACAAGGTTCCTCACTCTGAAAACAAAGTTCCGCACCCTGAGGATAAGGCTCCTCACTCTGAAGACAAGGTTCCTCACTCTGAGGACAAGGTTCCTCACACTGAGGACAAGGTTCCTCACTTTGAGGACACGGTTCCTCATTCTAAGGACAAGGTTCCTCACTCTGAAGGCAAGGTTCCTCACTCTGCGGACAAGGTTCCTCACTATGGGGACAAGGTTCCTCACAATGAGAAGAAGGTTCCTCACCTTGAGAACAACGTTCCTCACACTGAGGAGAAGGTTTCTAACTCTGCGGACCAGGTTTCTCACTCTGAAGACAAGGGTTCTCACACTGAGGACAAGGTTTCTCATTATTGGGACAAGGTTCCTCACACTGAGGACAAGGTTCATCACTCTGAGGAAATGCTTCATCACTCTGAGGACAAGGTTCCTAACTCTGAGGACAAGGTTCCTCACCATGAGGACAAGGTTCCTAACTCTGACGACAAGGTTGCTCACAATGAGGACAAGGTTCCTCACCCAGTGGACAAGGTTCCTCACTATGAGGACAAGGTTCCTCAATCTGAGGACAAGCTTCCTCACTCTGAGGCAAGGTTCTTTACACTGAGGACAAGGTTCCTCACACTGAAGACAAGGTTCCTCACTCTAAAAACAAGATTCCTCACACTGAGGACAAGCTTCCTCAATCTGAGGACAAGATTCCTCACTCTGAGGAGAAGGTTCCTCACTCTGAGAACAAGGTTCCTCACTCTGAGGACGAGGCTCCTCGCTCTGAGGAGAAGGTGCTTCACACCATGGACAAAGTTCCTTACTCTGAGAACAAGGTTCCTCACTCTGAGGACAAGGTTCCTCACACAGAGTACAAGGTTCCTCACTCCGAGGACAAGGTTCCTCACTCTGATGACAAGGTTCCTCACACTGAGAACAAGGTTTTTCACACTTAGGACAAGGTTCCTCATACTGAGAACAAGGTTCCTCACTCTGAGAACAAGGTTCCTCACATTGAAGACAAGGTTCCTCACTCTGAAGACAAGCTTTCTCACTCTGAGGACAAGGTCCTTCACTCTGAAGACAAAGTTCCTCACACTGAATACATGGTTACTCACTCTGACAAAAAAGGTTCCTCAGTCTGAGGACAAGGTTCCTCACTCTGAGGACAAGGTTCCTCACTCTGAGGACAAGGTTCCTCACACTGAGGAAAAGGTTCCTCACACTGTGAACAAGGTTCCTCACTCTGAGAACAAGGTTCATCACACTGAAGACAAGGTTCCTCACCCTGAAGAGAAGGTTTCTCACTCTGAGGACAAGGTTCCTCACTCTGAGGACAAGGTTCCTTGCTCTGAGAAGAAGGTTCCTCACACTTAGGACAAGCTTCGTCACCCTGAGGACAAGGTTCCTCACTCAGAGGACAAGGTTCCTCACTCTGAGGACAAGGTTCTTCACACTGAGGGCAAGGTTCCTCACTCTGAGAACAAGGTTCGTCACTCTGAGGACAAGGTCCCTCACTCTGAGCACAACTTTCTTCACACTGAGGACAAGGTTCCTCACACTGAGGACAAGGTTCCTCACTCTGAGGACAAAGTTCCTCACTCCGAAGACAAGGTTCCTCACTCTGAGGACAAGGTTTTTCACACTGAGGACAACGTTCCTCACTCTGAGAACAAAGTTCCTCACTCTGAGGGCAAGGTTCCTCAATCGGAGGACAAGGTTCCTCACACTGAGGACAAGGTTCCTCACTCTGAGAATATGGTTCCTCACACTGAGGACAAGGTTCTTCACTGTGTGGACGTGGATCCTCACTCGGTGGACAAGGTTCCTCACTCTGAAAACAAGGTTCCTCACACTGACGACAAGGTTCCTCACACTGAGGACAAGGTTCCTCCCTCTGAGGACAAGGTCCTCACTCGGAGGAGAAGGTTCCTCACTCTGAGAACAAGGTTCCTCACTCGGAGGACAAGGCTCCTCGCTCTGAGGAGAAGGTGCTTCACACCGTGGACAAAGTTCCTTACTCTGAGAACAAGGTTCCTCACTCTGAGGACAAGGTTCCTCACACAGAGTACAAGGTTCCTCACTCCGAGGACAAGGTTCCTCACTCTGAGGACAAGGTTCCTCACACTGAGAACAAGGTTTTTCACACTGAGGACAAGGTTCCTCACACTGAGAACAAGGTTCCTCACTCTGAGAACAAGGTTCCTCACACTGAAGACAAGGTTCCTCACTCTGAAGACAAGTTTCCTCACTCTGAGGACAAGGTCCTTCACACAGAAGACAAAGTTCCTCACACTGAATACAAGGTTACTCACTCTGACAACAAGGTTCCTCAGTCTGAGGACAAGGTTCCTCACTCTGAGGTCAAGATTCCTACCTCTGAAGGCAGGTTCGTCCCTCTGAGGACAAGGTTCGTCACTCTAAGTCAACGTTCCTCACTCTGAATGCAGATTCCTCACACTGAGGACAAGGTTCCTCATTCTGAGGACAAAGTTCCTCCCTCTGAGGACAAGGTTCCTCACACTGCGGCCAAGGTTCCTCACACTGAGGAAATGGTTCCTCACTCGGAGACCAAGGTTCGTCACTTTGAGGACAAGGTTCTTCACTGTGAAGGCAGGTTCCTCACTCTGAGGACAAAGTTCGTCACTCTGAAGACAAGGTTCTTCACTGAGAAGGGAGATTCCTCACTCTGCGGACAAGGTTCCCCACTCTCAGGACAAGGTTCCTCACTCTGAGGACAAGTTTCCTTACTCTGAGAAAAAGGTTCCTCGCTGTGGGAAGAAAGTTCGTCACCCTGATTACAAGGTTCCTCAAACTTACGAGAAGGTTCCTTACTCTGACAACAAAGTTCCTCACTTTGAGGACAAGGTTCCTCACTCTGAGGACAAGGTTTTTCACACTGAGGACAAGGTTCCCCATTCTGAGGACAAAGTTCATCACTCTGAGGACAAGTTTCCTCACTGTGGACAAGGTTCCTCACACTGAGGACAAGGTTCCCCACTCTGAGAACAAGGTTCGGCACTCTGAGGACAAGGTTCTTCACTGTGAAGGCAGGTTCCTCACTCTGAGAACAAGATTCCCCACTCTCAAGACAACGTTCCTCACTCTGGGGACAAGGTTCTTCACTCTGAAGGCAGGTTTCTCAGTCTGAGAACAAAGTTCCCCACTCTTAGGACAAGGTTCCTCACACTGAGTACAAGGTTCCTCACTCTGAGGACAATGTTCCTCACTCTGTGGACAAGGTTCCTCAATCTAACGACAAGTTTCCTCACCCGGACGTCAAGGTTCCTCACACTGAGATCAAGTTTTCTCACTCTGAGGACAAGGTTCCTCACTCTGAGGACAAGGTTCCTCACTCTGAGGACAAGTTTCCTCACTCTGATGAGAAGGTTCCTCACTTTGAGGACAAGTTTCGTGACTCTGAGGTCAAGGTTCCTCACTCTGAGGACAAGGTTCCGCACTCTGAGGACAAGGTTCCTCACTCTGAGGAGAAGGTTCCTCACACTGACGAAAAGGTTCCTCATTCTCACAACAAGTTTCGTCACTCTGAGGACAAGGTTCCTCACTCTGAGGACAAAGTTCCTCACTCTGAGGACTAGGTTTCCCACTCTCAGGACAAGGGTTGTCACTTTGAGGCCAAGGTTCCTCACTCTGAGGACAAGGTTCCTGACTCTGAGGACAAGGTTCCTCACTCGGACGACAAGGTTCCTCGCTCTGAGGAAAAGGTTCCTAACCCTGAGGACAAGGTTCTTCACTCTGAACGCAGGTTCCTCACACTGAGGACAAGGATGCTCACTCTGAAGGCAGGTTCCTCACACTGAAGACAAGGTTCCTCTCTCTGAGGACAAGGTTCCTCACTCTGAGGACAAGGTTGCTCATTCTGAGGGCAAGTTTCCTCACTGTGAAGTCAGGTTCTTCACTCTGAGGACAAGGTTTCTCATTCTGAGGACCAGGTTCGTCACTCTGAGTACAAGGTTGCTCACTGTGAAGAAAAGGTTCCTGACTCTGAGGACAAGGTTCGTCACTCTGACGACAAGGTTCCTCACTCTGAGGAAAAGGTTGCTAACCCTGAGGACAAGGTTCTTCACTCTGAAAGCAGGTTTCTCACACTGAGGACAAGGATGCTCACTCTGAAGGCTGGTTCCTCACACTGAAGACAAGGTTCCCTTCTCTGAGGACAATGTTCCTCACTCTGAGGACAAGGTTGCTCACTCTGAGGGCAAGTTTCCTCACTGTGAAGTCAGGTTCTTCACTCTGAGGACAAGGTTTCTCATTCTGAGGACCAGGTTCCTCACTCTGAGTACAAGGTTGCTCACTGTGAAGAAAAGGTTCCTGACTCTGAGGACAAGGTTCGTCACTCTGACGACAAGGTTCCTCACTCTGAGGAAAAGGTTGCTAACCCTGAGGACAAGGTTCTTCACTCTGAAAGCAGGTTGCTCACACTGAGGACAAGGATGCTCACTCTGAAGGCTGGTTCCTCACACTGAAGACAAGGTTCCTTTCTCTGAGGACAATGTTCCTCACTCTGAGGACAAGGTTGCTCACTCTGAGGGCAAGTTTCCTCACTGTGAAGTCAGGTTCTTCACTCTGAGGACAAGGTTTCTCATTCTGAGGACCAGGTTGCTCACTCTTAGTACAAGGTTGCTCACTCTGAGGACAAGGGTGCTCACACTGAGGAGAAGGTTCCTCACTCTGAAGGCAGGATCCTCACGCTGAGGAAAAGGTTCCTCATTCTTTGGACAAGGTTCAGCACTCTGAGGACAAGGTTCCTCACTCTAAAGGCAGGTTCCTAACATCGAGGACAAGATTTCTCACTCTGAGGAAAAGGTTTCTTACTCTGAGGACAAGTTTCTTCACTCTGAAGGCAGGTACTTCACTCTGACGACAATGTTCCTCATTCTGCGGACAAGGTCCCTCCCACTGAGGACAAGGTTCCTCACTCTGAGGACAAGTTTCCTCACTCGGAGAGCAAATTTCCTCATTCTGAAGGCAGGTTCCTCCCTTAGGGGACAATGTTCCTCACTCTGAGGACAAGGTTCCTCACTCTGAGGACAAGTTTCCTCACTCTGATGAGAAGGTTCCTCACACTGAGGACAAGTTTCGTGACTCTGAGGTAAAGGTTCCTCACTCCGTGGACAAGGTTCCTCACTCTGATGACAAGGTTCCTCACTCTGATGACAAGGTTCCTCACTCTGAAGTCAGGTTCCTCCATCTGAGGACAAGGTTCCGCATTCTGAGGACAAGGTTCCACACTCTGAAGTCAGGTTCCTCACACTGAGGACAAGGTTCCTCATTCTGAGAACAAGTTTCGTCACTCTGTGGACAAGGTTCTTCACCGTGAAGGCAGGTTCCTCACTCTGAGGACAAAGTTCCTCACTCGGAGGTCAAGGTTCCTCACACTGAGGACAAGTTTCCACACCCTGACGACAAGGATGCTCACTCTGAAGACAGGTTCCTCACATCGAGGACAATGTTTTTAATCTGAGGACAAGGATCTTCACTCTGAGGATGACGTTCCTCACCCTGAGGAGAACGTTCCTCACACTGAGGACAAGGTTCGTCACTATCAGAACAAGGTTCCTCTCTCTGAAGACAAGTACCTCACACTGAGGACAAGGTTCCTCACTCTGAGGACAAGGTTCCTCACACTCAGGACAAGGTTCGTCATTCTGAGGACAAGGTTCCTCACTCTGAGGACAAGTTTCCTCACTCTGAAGGCAGGTTCTGTACTCTGAGGACAAGGTTTCTCATTCTGAGGACCAGGTTCCTCACTCTGAGGACAAGTTTGCTCACTCTGAGTACAAGGTTGCTCACTCAGAGAACAAGGTTGCTCACTCTGAGGACAAGGTTCTTCACTCTGAACGCAGGTTCCTCACACTGAGGACAAGTATGCCCACTCTGAAGGCAGGTTGCTCGCACTGAGGATAAGGTTCCTCACTCTGAGGACAAGGTTCCTTACTCTGAGGACAAGTTTCCTCATTCTGAAGGCTGGTTTCTCACATTGAGGACAACGATGCTCACTCTGAAGACAGGTTCCTCACATCGAGGACAATGTTTTTAATCTGAGAACAAGGATCCTCACTCTAAGGATAAGGTTCCTCACTCTGAGGACAACGTTTCTCACACTGCGGACAATGTTGCTCACTCTGAGGACAAGGTTCCTCACTCTGAGGACAAGGTTTCTCACTCTGAGGACAAGGTTCCTCACCCTGATGAGAAGGTTCCTTTCTCTGAAAAGAAGGTTTGTGACTCTGAGGACAAGGTTCGTCAGTGTTCTAAGAGTGAAGAACCTTGTCCTCAGTGTGAAGCACCTTGTCTTCAGAGTGAGGAACCTTGTCCTCAGTGTGAGGACCCATGTCTTCAGAGTAAGGAACCTTGTCCTCAGAGTGAGGAACCTTATTCTCAGAGTGAGGAACCTTGTCCTCAGTGTGAGGAACCTTGTCCTCAGTGTGAAGATCCTTGTCTTCAGAGTGAGGAACCTTCTCCTCAGTGTGAGGACCCATGCCTTCTTAGTAAGGAACCTTGTCCTCAGAGTGAGGAATCTTGTCCTCAGAGTGAGGAACCTTGTCCTCAGAGTGAGGAACCTTGTCCTCAGAATGAGGAACCTTGTCCTCAGAGTCGGGAACTTTTTCCTTAGAGTGTGGAAACTTGTGCTCAGAGTGAGGAACTTTGTCCTCAGAGTGAGGAACCTTGTCCTCAGAGTGTGGAACCTTGTCCTTAGAATGTGGTACATGCATTCAGAGTGATGAACCTTGTCCTCAGAATCAGGAACCTTGTCCTTAGTGTGAGGAACCTGCCATTACACGGAGGAACCTTGTCTTCCGAGTGAGGAATCTTGTCCTGAGAGTGAGGAGCCTATGCCCTGAGAGGTCGAACCTTGTCCTCAGAGTAATGAACCATGTCCTCAGAGTGAGGAACCTTGTCCTCAGAGTAAGAAACCTTGTCCTCAGAGTGAGGAACCTTCTCCTTAGAGTGAGGAACCTGCCTTCAGAGCGTGCAACCTTGTCCTCAGAGTGAGGAACTTTGTCCTCAGAGTGAGGAACCTTGTCCTCAGAGTGAGGAACCTTGTCCTCAGAATGAGAAACCTTATCCTCGGAGTGACGAACCTTGTCCTCAGAGTAATGAACCATGTCCTCAGAGTGAGGAACCTTGTCCTCAGAGTAAGAAACCTTGTCCTCAGAGTGAGGAACCTTCTTCTTAGAGTGAGGAACCTGCCTTCAGAGCGTGCAACCTTGTCCTCAGAGTGAGGAACTTTGTCCTCAGAGTGAGGAACCTTGTCCTCAGAGTGAGGAACCTGCCTTCAGAGCGTGCAACCTTGTCCTCAGAGTGAGGAACTTTGTCCTCAGAGTGAGGAACCTTGTCCTCAGAGTGAGGAACCTTGTCCTCAGAATGAGAAACCTTATCCTCGGAGTGACGAACCTTGTCCTCAGAGTGAGAAGCCTTGTAATCAGAGTGAGGAACCTTTTCCTCAGAGTGAGGAACTTTGTCCTCAGAGTGAGGAACCTTGTCCTCAGAGTGAGGAACCTTGTCCTCAGAATGAGAAACCTTGTCACTAGAGTGAGGAACCTTGTCCTCAGAGTGAGGAACCTTGCCCTCAGAGAGAGGAACCTTGTCCTCAGAGTGAGGAACCTTGTCCTCAGAGTAACGAAACTTGTTCTCAGAGTGAGGAACCTTTTCGTCAGTGTAAGGAACCCTGTCCTCAGAGTGAAGAACCTTGTCCTCGGAGTGACGAACCTTGTCCTCAGAGTGAGAAACCTTGTAATCAGAGTGAGGAACCTTGTCCTCCGAGTGAGGAACCTTGTCCTCAGAGTGAGGAACCTTGTCCTCAGAGTGAGAAACCTTGTCACTAGAGTGACGAACCTTGTCCTCAGAGTGAGGAACCTTGCCTTCAGAGAAAGGAACCTTGTCCTCAGAGTGAGGAGCCTTGTCCTCAGAGTAACGAAAATTGTTCTCGGAGTGAGCAACCTTTTCGTCGGTGTGAGGAACCTGGCCCTCACATTGAGGAACCTTGTCCTCAGAATGAGGAACCTTCTCCTCGGAGTGACGAACCTTGTCCTCAGAGTGAGAAACCTTGTAATCAGAGTGAGGAACCTTGTCCTCAGAGTGAGGAAGCTTGTCTTCAGTGTGAGGAACCTTGTTCTCAGAGTGAGGAACCTTGTCCTTAGAGCGAGAAACTTTGTCACTAGAGGACAAGGTTCCTAACTCTGAGGACAAGGTTCCTCGAGCTGAGAACAAAGTTACTCACTCTGAGGACAAGGTTCCTCACTCGGAGGACAAGGTTCCTCACTGTGAGGACAAGGTTGCTCGCTCTGATGGCAGGTTCCGCACTCTAAGGCAAGGTTCGACACTGTGAGGGCAAGGTTTCTTACTCTGAGGACAAGGTTCCTCATTCTGAGGACATGGTTCCTCACTCAACCCTTACCCAGGGCTTCTGCGCTTATTGCTCTCAGAAGCCCTGGGATAATCCAACTCAGAACGTGATTTGATTGGTCAATGCGAATACAATGAAAGTACCTGAAGTTATTCATTAACAGGGTGATATTTTGGCAACATGTCTGCTATCACAAGGAGCGTATACAAAAGTTAAATGCTGGTTTTTGCATGAAAATACTTTTTTGAATCAAATTCTGGGCTATTTTGAAAAGAGTAAAAGAAGAAATGGACTATTTGTATTTGTAAATAAACAAGAATGGCGAACAAAGTAAAAAATTTAATTAACATAATAAAGCGAAACATTTCTCGTTCGAAAATTGAAATTTCAAGTATAAATCTACAACTTCAACCACGATATTCAATGTAAATATTTCATAATAAAGTTTTTAATACCTCTTTACCTTTATTTGATAAATTGTGTGTTCTATATTATTGCATTTTGTATTGGAATAGGATAAATTATGAATTATACACATATATTTAAATTTACAAATTATTCCCAATTTGAGGATGCTGGGTGCACTGGCTCAGAGTTTGTATTAGGGCCTATTTATTATTGAGTTATTAGTACCTCTAAATCTCTAATGTACAAACATTGTAATCTGTTACTTAATACCATAAAGAAACTGTTGATAGCACATATACTAAATGACTATTAATCAAAATGAACTAAATTTTCGACCATTATATAGCATATATTTCCCCCAATATTGAGGGAATAATTTCTCATATTTATTTTTATAATAAGCCAATATTGCCCAACTGTGAAGTAAATATTGCCCGACTGGCCTAGTCTGCCCAACAATTGAGCCCAGCTCTGTATGCCTATGACCAGGCCTACAGGCGGACCCCCAACCTGATTGGTCACAATTTTTCTATCTCCATAATTTCCCCTCCCCATATACAAGGGTTGACAATTTGACAGTTTGATTAGATTTGAAAAAAAACACAGTTATATTGGGTCATTCCAGAAAACACCCATACCACTCCCACAGAGGAAATTGAAAGTTAATCCCTTCTACCCCTTTGGATGTCCTAATACGTTTACTATTATCAGAAATAATTTTCCTCCCTCCCCCTCTGAACGGCAGAAATTTCCTCTGTGGGGGGAGTGTGGATATTTTCTGGCACGACCTATTTGAGAAATGCTTTTGCACAAATTTTAAATTTTCTTGTCAGACACTGTTCTAAGTTGCAACTAAAATTCAGAAGTCTAAAAGGCTCAAGTCAATCCCAGTGGTGTAACCAGAGGGGGTGTGGGGGGGAGGGGCGGCAAAATATTTTAAATGTTCTGAACTTGTTTGTAATTAATTAGAGTTGAACATGTGTTAACTGCAAGGTTATTTCAAATCACCAATTGAAAACACATTAAAATAGCCCCCCAAAATGGCACTTTATTAACTAGAATTTAAAAAGTCTACATTGTACTATATTATACATGGATAGCTTGGGAGTCCAAATATATTTTTACATACTAACAAACTTTATTCAAACTAGTGCAGGCCCCTCCTGGGGATTTCAGTCCCCCTTGAAGGCCTTAATTAGAAATTCTGGCTACATCACTGCTCAATTCCATTGCCAATGATGGTGTTAGCATGATTAGACAGAGTAGGTTAACAAACTAGTGTGTATTATGAGATAATCCATTGAACACCAATGATCTATCCCAACATATAAAATCATGTGGTGGATCCAGCAAAGTTTTTTTGGGGGGTGCTAACCAATGGCGAAACGAGCGCCGAAGGCGCGAGATTTCTAGGGTGGTCCGGGGGCATACTACCACGGAAAATTTTTAAAATTTGGGTCTCTGAAATGGCATTTCCAGCATTCTGAGAAAACATTCTGGAAAATTTTTAGATTCTCAAAACATTTAAAAATTCAGAATATTTAATATTGGCTATTCCACTATTGTCAACTAGTGATACGCAACTGAATTCCTTAACATAAGTTTGTTAGAATTAGGATAAACATCATTTTTGCACCCCCCCCCCCATGCACCCCTGTTGACCAGAGCCTGGGGGGGGGGTGTGCACACAAGAGCAAAATAAAAAGTAAGACACAATGTATAACTTAATAGGTAAGGTTAATGGCCAGAACTAAATGATAAACAATATTTTATAATAAACCCAAATTAGTTCAGCACCATTGGTTCTTATAACACTGTTCATTCCAATACTAGAACATCAGCAATTAACAAAAGTTGGAGTTTCATCCGATGACATGTATGCTTCTAACCATACTGTCCATGCAGCTATCTGACAGTTTTTAATTTTCAACATTGATTCCCAAAGCCATTATTCTCAAGATTTGCCAAAAAGGTTTTCCAAATATTAAAGTACAGAATTATATTACTGTTCATTTTACATTCTTCAAGTAGATGCATGTTTACAGTACAGTATATCTTGTGCATTTATAATTAAATCTTGCAATATCTTGTTCAAAACCCTCAAATCCAAGATAATCGGCAGCCAGCCATGTTACCAGTAAGATTTCTAGTCTGTTAATTTTGAAATGACCAAGGTTGTACTCGAATATAAATATTTATACTTTAATTATTGAATAGCCCCTGTATATCGCTGACAAGGTATGCTGTTGTCGCGATATAAGATGTTCTTTTGCTCACCAAAGGGCTAATTTTACGCATAATTGTATCTCTAAATTGATCATTCCTGACTTTAAATTCCAAAAGCCACGCGAAAAGCAGTTTAAGACGTTTTTACAAGTCCAAATATATCATAAATTGCAACAAATAATCCATTCTCACTCTTGCGTAAAAATATGCCCAGTCAGCGTTTTTAGCTGGAGCTACTGTTTACTTCCGCTTCCGGGGGCACCACTGTTCTATGGTGTTCCGGTTTGGATTATCCCAGGGCTTCTGAGAGCAATAAGCGCAGAAGCTCTGGGTACGAGGTTGTTCCTCACTCTGATGACAAGGTTCGACACTCTCAGGACTAGGCTCCTCACTCTCAGGACGAGGCTCTCCCTCCTTCGTGATCGGACGTGTTATTTTAACTCCGCTATTTCGACACTTGATTTCTAAGATTGAAGCTTAATTTTAGCCAAAAATTAGTCTTCTGCATGGCGTATCATTCAACAACAAAGGCAAGTTGATTTGGACAAAATCCTTACAAGATTTACAGAAGTTTGCAGAAGAAATATTGAATTTAGCTGATGGCGGTTGGTGCTGCCCCGGAGGTGGTGCTACACAGTTTAAATCCGAAGATATTGATCTTCGATGGTACCCCGATACACAAACAATCACTTTAAACGGTAAACTAAAAGATGAAGTTGGAGAGATATTCAATTCGGCTGCCGTAATATCGGGGAAGCTGGCAAATGAAAGTGGAAAAGAAGCATCGAAGCTGGACGGCCATATTGAAGAAACGAATGTTGCTTCGACTTTGAATATTAATGACTCGAGAGACGTAGATAATGATGTTAACCGGCCATTTGTTGATGAAATTCAAAGCGAAGAAGCTATTCCTAATGTTATCGAAAACATTCCAGCAAACAGCCGTCCCATACAAGATGACCAAATGTTCTCCCTTGAGGCCCTTCAAAGCCAAATAAAAGCTCTTACCAAAGAAGTAAACGGAAATACGGCTGCTCTAGAAAACATAAGGGAACCAGAAATGGTCTCCAATCCATTGTTAGTTCAAAAATCAAAAAACGAAGTGGATTGCCTAAAAGAAAAAATTTATAAACTGATGGACGAGAACAAACTTCTGAAAAACGAAAATAATGAAAACATCGAAAGATTCAACAACCTATCATTTATACTAGCTAACTTGCAACAAAAGACAAAAAACGCAGAACAAGAAAGGGACAGCGTAATTACTGCCATGCGTCTGCTAATTGC